ATGGGTCTGTTTTTCTGTCCTCTCCGGACATTGCAAGTACAAAAGTCAAAGAAACAGACATAGAAAGCCAGACAACTTGGAAGTACAGCTGTTTTCTTGGTGCATGTATATCTGTTTAATGTGTTCTTGAGTGGATAATTGGATAAGGCAGGATCATGAATGGAAGAGAAGGGCTGAGGGTGCGGGTACAGAATTGCCAGCTTCCTCCCAAATGAACACTTGATCTGGATTGTCAATGCCTCAGGGACATCGTTGCTGGTCTCCTTGTTCCTCACCATGAGCAAGCAGATGCTGGATAACTGCTCTTGGTGATTGTGTTGCAGGAAGTCTTGTGAACAGGAAAAGAAGGCTCGCATTTGTTGCTGTCTTGGCAGTTAAAAGTGGGCCACGGATGATGATCATAGATTCAGGAAGAAAGCGGGGGGGGGGCTCAGGGAGGGGCCTCGAGGTCACAGGTGAAACTCTGGGGTCTGATCCAAACCCAGAGGCAAAAGCTGGAATTTATTTAATGGAGTTCCATTCATTTATTCAGCAGATAGCAACTGAGCACCTACTAAGTGGCCAGGCCCCAAGTGAGCTGCGGGAATACGGCAAGAAGCAGATTCTCCTCTGTCTCCCACGAGCATAGAGCTATGTGCTCAAGTGGTGAACACTGAAGGAGCCCAGAAAGGAGACAGTCTGCCCGTGACTGGTGCACAGACAACTGCCTTGCTTGACTTCTCAGTCCTCCTCTAAATCGGGTTCAGCTGACTCTTGACTCCCCTGCCACCAAGAGAGAGGGCAGCAGGGTGTCCCCACCCCAGACCAGGCAGGCTGCTTGCTTTGTTTCTCAGAGCCACCCTGGCTGTTTCAGACGCAGCCAGCCCAGGAGCTTAGACCAGAGGCAGCTGTGGGGCGTGGGCCTGGCAGCAGGCAGGCCTGTGGGCGGGCAGACAGGCAGCAGGAGAACACTCAAGAATTAACCCAACCAGGGACGGGTGTCTCCTCAGAGGATCACAGACATCCCCTCTCCTGCCCTTTAACGGTACCATCCCCAACTTCCAAGGCCTGGGCGATGGGGTTGATTCCCGTGGTAATTTGGGGGAAACAGTAGAGCAGCCTCCCCATCCTCGGGGGTTTTTCGTTTTGAAGTTAGCCAAAGGGACTGTTTGTCTCAGAACCATGGTCCCCTGAGGATGGAGATGAGCCCTCTGGAGCTGGAGCCCAGCTCTGAATAGGTGGGCCCAGGGTCTGGAGGCCAGGTCGGGCTGCCCACTGACTGGGGATGGGTGCTCCACTGCACTGCCTCTCAGGGGGCACTGCCCACCGCCTCAGAGCGGAGGAGCAGGGAAGGGCCAGCCAGGAGGCAAGCGGGGCCTATGTGCACTTGGCCCCATTTTCCTGCACCCCTCCCTCTCTCTCTCCTGCTCTGTCCCACTCTTTGGCTCTCTTTTCAGATTGAGACATGGCTCGGGAGCCCAAGCCCGGCCCTTCCCGGCCAGGCCAGAAGAGGCCATGGGGCAGAGCCATCTCCTGGTGAGTCTGCCTGGGGTTGCCTACCGGGGAGGGAGTCTGATCACCAGCTTGTTTGGGGCTCTGGGCTCCCCTGAGACAGAATGAGAACCCCAGAAGGCTTGCTCAGTGTGCTGCCCGCCCAGCCGGCCAGGCTGCTCGTCTTACTCTCTGTGGTACCAGAGGAGGTCCGGTCTCCCTTGGCCACAGGTTTTGTCTGTAAACTGGGTGTGTGTGTGTGTGTGTGTGTGTGTGTGTGTGTGTGTGTGTGTGTGTGTGTGTGTGTGTGTGTGTGTCTGTAGGGGGGTCAACCCAGCTCATTCCAAGGCCCCTTCTAGCTGACACAACCCAGCCACCCTCCTGCTGGTGATGCCCTCTCCTCTCGCCTGGACCCGGGGGTGTGAGTCCTCCAAAGGGAGCCTCACCTGTGGGGTGCTCGGGGCCTTTTTCTGGGTATACATGTTTGGGAAGTAGACAATGGGAACCTTCTGGATGAAATCTTCCCTCTAACTTGGAAAGCTTCAAGGAATTTTAAAGAAACCTTTAAACATGTTTAGAAAGGAGCTCACCAACTTCTGCCAGCCAACGTGCCATTTTCACAGGCGTAACCAGTGTGTGTGAACCGGTGGCCCCTTAGTCCCCTCAGCTGGTAGCCTGTGATGTCTGTGATCAGCTCCTGGCCTGTCTGTGGGCATATGAGTGGTTTCTGTCTTGCCAGTGGGGGAGGCAGGGAGGCAGTGCGTCAGGTGGTTGCTGTTAGGTACAGCACTGTGTAAACAGCCTGCTGCCGAAGGTTCTGATTTCTTTTGGGTTTTTGTTTGTGGGGGTTTTTTATAATTTTTTTTATACTTAATTTACTTTTCTTATTTATTTACTTATTTTTGGCTCTGTTGCGTCTTCGTTGCTGCGTGCAGGCTTTCTCTAGTTGCGGCGAGCCGGGGCTGCTCCTCATTGCAGTGTGCGGGCTTCTCACTGCAGTGGCTTGTCTTGTTGCAGACCATGGGCTCTAGGCGAGCAGGCTTCGGTAGTTGTGGCACATGAGCTCAGTAGTTGTGGCTCACGGGCTTAGTTGCTTCCACAGCATGTGGGATCTTCCTGGACCAGGGCTCGAACCTGTGTCCACTGCATTGGCAGGCGGATTCTTAACCACTGGAACACCAGGGAAGTCCGGTTCTGGTTTCTTTTGGGTCTCATCTCCTCAGAGGTGCGATAGCAGGAATGGGTAGGGGCTACTCTGAGAAGCCTCTGCACCTCCAGGCTGACCTCAAGAGTCATTAGGCCAAATCTCTACCTGCCTGCGGCAGCCAGGTCTACATCATCTTTGCCGGCATGGACTGCTTTTTCACTGTGTTGTTTTGGGCTGATGAGTAGATGTGTACTCGTAGTTTTTTAAGCTTGCGTTTCCTCAGTGATGCTGAACTGCATATGCGGTGTGTTGGTTTGCCTTGTACGTGAGACTCTCATCTGGGAGTTGATATGGTTTGGTAAATATCCGTCTGATGGGAGGTAAGTGGTGTCTTCCCATAGTTCTCTGCTGTGCTTTTTCACAGGGCCGCTTTGAGGCTGGGTTAACCCTTTCTCAGTTCTTCAGTTCCAGTTGCCTTCTCCAGATTTCATGTCGCCCCACCCCCTTGCCTAGCAGGCTCAGACCCAGTCCTGTAGGTGCAGGTGGGAGAACAGGGAAGCAATGGGGAGTGATGCCAGCTGTCCTGCAGGAGCTCAGATTCCATTCGGAGGGGTGCCTGGTATTCAAGGCCTAGGGCAGGGGTGGCTTCCTTAAGACCCATGTGTCCCTAGGGGACTCCAGTGGGGAGAATGAAACCCTTCTCTGGGGACTAGGGCAGCATGTCTGGAGCAGCAGCAGGCTGTTGCTGTGGCTCTGGCCCCTTTGGATAGTCACCCAAAGAGGGGTGGTTCGGGATGGGGTTCTGGTGGCCCCTGAGTTGTTGGATGACTTCTCTATGAGAACTGGTCAAGTCCAGGCCTTGTGTCTTGGGTCTCAAAATGGCATTTGTCAACCTGGAGGGAAAGGTTTGTGGTGGAAGGATTGCCCCAGGTCCCCTCCCCCGCCCCCACCTCCCCCCACTTGGCCCCTGACGGCACTGAGGGAGGTGGCTTGACCTCTGCCCACAGAGTCATACTGATGGTGCATTTTATTTCTCTTACTGTGGGAAGTCCCAGCTTGCACTGTAATCATTAGCCCAGACCAGGGGACAGATGTGACTGCAGACCCTGTGTGACCAGGCCACTGCCCCTTAGGAAGAGAGAATCAAGGTCACACACCCAGGGCACAGGCCTCAGCCCTGGCTGATGACTGGGGGCAGGGGCAGAGCAGGGATGACCCCAGACCGGGAGGGACCCTCTACCTACAGCAAGCTGGAGCAGCGAATACCGCCTAACCTCTAACCTGCAAACTCATCCTGCCTTTGTCTCAACTCCGGTAGCTCCCAAGTCTGTGCTCAGCAGTCAGTGAATTACCATTCCTTTACCATTAATTTTTAGGTACTCTAAAAAGTCATTTTAGGAAAAAAAGTGAGGAAGAGGTGTTTAAAGAAAAGTGTGCTTCTTGCATTGGCTGGGAATTGAACCCTGGCCTCCCACGTGGCAGGCAAGAATTCTACCACTGAATCACCAATGCTGTTGTAGAATAGGGTTCATCGAGGTAGCTCAGGTGGTCGGCTACTGGTCCCTCCCCATCTCCCTCCCCTCCCCTCCAGCTGTCTGATCTCTGCTGAGGTTTCAACCCAGTCAGGGAGAGGGGGCCCCCATGGCCAACCCAAGGTGGGCCAGACAAGCGAGAATTTTCCCGGAGTGGTCATGCTCAGCTGAGACTCGTACTCAGCTGAGACTCGTAACCTTGAGCTCTGTCCTGGCCCCCAGCTGTCCCAGCTTGGTCGTTGCCAACCCTCAGGGGGCTGCCTGTTTCCTGCACCATGCCCCGGACCCCGACCCCAACCCCAGAGCGCCGAAGGGATGGGTACCTGCCCTCCCGCACTCCACTGGCTCGCTTTCCTTTCTCCAAGGATGGGCCTCCCACCACCGGAATCAACATCCCAGCGGCTCCTGGGCCGCCCACCAGACTTCCTGAGGCCAGAAAGCGGGGACGGGGGTGGCCGGAAATCTCATCCACAGGCTTGGGGACCTCACGGCATGAAGGGGAAGGGGCCCCCTAATGTTCCCTATTCCGCTCCGGTGGCTTCCATAGGCCTTGCCCCTCATCAGCTGGGCCTGAGCTGGTGGTGTGGGCGCACAGTCCCAGAAAGTTATTTCAGAAACTTTACTGCCCCCAGCTTGCAGCCCCTCTCCTCCCACTCAACTCCTCACTTGCCTTAACTGAAGCCTCAGGCTGCACCCGAACTGCCTGCAGCTGTATCCCCACAGGATATTCCTGCCCAAGCCGGACCCAGCTGTCCCTCTGCACCCATCTTCCCTTCCCTCCTAGGCACCAGTTCCCTGGAGGTGCATGGTGCATGAGAGCAGGCGTGAGGCCAGGCAGTGACAGCCTGGGACCTTCCAGACTCAGCCTCTCTCCCAGGGCCTGGAGCGAAGGGAAGGTGGCCTGGGCACGGCCCTTAACCCCGACTGTCTGGCCCTGCCAGTGCTGGGCCCTGCATCCTGGCGATTCCCACGCAAGGATTAAAGGCTCTCTCCATGGCTTTGAGCCCTGACTTAATTCTTCCCTTTCATCCTTTGCCAGACTAAGAACCAGAATAAGATCAGCAGTGCCTGGGTCAGGTAGAGGAGCCTGTGGACAGCCCAGACCTGGCTGCCCAGAAGCCTGTGGGCAATTGCCCCCTCCTGCCACCTGGAGGCACCCGGAACGTGCCCCTAACAGAGGCCAGCTACGGGGAAGCTGGTTTGCTGTGGTCTCCCAAAGTGACCTTGGTCAAGTCCCTAGGGGCTCTTATGGTGAAGAATCCTGGGATTCTAAGGAAAAGCTGCATACATCAGTTTCTCCAAATTAAACTGGAGTCGAGGCAAGGATTCTGGCCCTGGACAATGACCCTTTCCTCATTTATCTCTATTTCAACAGCAACTATGACCTGGATTACAAGCTATACAGAGAAGATGTCCCCTACAGGTAGGTGGGTCCTGCCCCCTCAGTCCTCTGGGCAAGCAGGTGGGACTAGTTGGCCTGACTCCCTCTCCATCCTGTCCATAGGGTGTATGAACACCAGAGGATCCCTCCACTAATCAACCGTGTGCCTATCAAGATCCGGAGGACCCATATGGGCATGGGGGTCAAGAGCAACTTCAGTCCCCACAAGGCTCCCAGGAACAGTCAGCTGACCCCCAAGATAAAGCGTGAGTGAGGGAGCACAGCCCTCAGCTGCAGGGCTAGGGGAGAACTGGGAGGCCCTTAGCAGTGAGGGTGGGTTCAGGAGTCCTCGCAGCACTGCCCTCTGCCTCCTGAACCTGATTGATACCAACTCTGGCCCCTCTCCCAGCAGTCCAGACTGAGGAGCTGCACTCCATCAGGGGAGAGCTGAGCCAGATCAAAGCCCAGGTGGACCGCCTGTTGGACAGTGTGGAGCGCATGGACCAGCAGAGGGACCAGCTTTCAGGTCAGGTCCCCCCAGGTGTGGGCCCAGGCCACACCCTTAGCAGGCTCCAGGTTTTCCCACTCCTGAAGGTACCAGGGGGTCCTGCCTCCAGCTTTCCCTGGGTGCAGGGCTCCTCCTCACCCTCCCTGGAGTTCACTTCCCCCTACTCCCTCTGGGTGTCTCTGTGGCTTGAGGACCTTTTTGGCTTCTAGATTGTTCTATGACCCCCACCCACTCAGCAGCTGTCTGGAGCCAGAGCAGTGTCCCAGTCCATCCCCATCTTGTCCTCTCGAGCCCTAGATTCCCTAGATCAGTGCTGGGCATCGAGTGGCATCTTTGGGGTTAGCTGGGGCCTTCAAATCTAGCCACTGACCAGTGACTCTCCCTGTGCAGGGACAGAGGACTGTGAACAGAACAGGGGCTCTGGAAGTAAAGGCTCCTCATGCAGAACCACTGATTGCCAGCAGGAGCCCAGGGGCCAGAGGGCCCATCCAGAGGCGGACAGCTTCCAGAACACAGACCTGGAGGAGGCAGTGAGTAGCCTGGCACCTCCCCCCATTCTCACCCTCCTTGTGGCCTCTCTGTGAGCAAAGGAGGGACTTGGGTTTGCGTGGGAGACCACAATGGTGGTTGCGGGGAGGCGTCCGACCTCCATCACAGCCAATGCCCAGGAGAAGATGGGGCCCTGCCCTGTTTTTTCTCCCCTCCTGATTTGGGCTTGGTCGGCTCAAATGGACCAGGGGCTACAGCTGGGCAGCTGAGCCAGTTCTGGGCTGAAATACCATCTCCTCCTGGAAGGTGGGTGGGGAGGGGGCTTTGAGCATTGCACAGGGAATATCACAGATGTGCCCCATAGCCCCAGATCCCTTGCCCAAAAACCATCTGGTAAGCCTGCCCCTGCCCACCTGCTACCCCAGAGTCTTTGGGCTGTCTTGCATTGTACCATACTCCCCAGGAAAGCTGGAGCACACTGACCTTCCTGGACTGAGAATATCCAAACCTGGATCTGATAACAGCCTTTTGTGCAGCTTCAAAGGGCCCAAATGTTCCCTGCCCTACCATTTCCTCCTCTCCTATTGGTGGTCCCTGAGATGGGCCAAGCCCCTACTGTTGCTAGGGCCATCTCAGCAAGGCTGGGGCTAGTAGTGAGGAGCTTCCTCTCCTCCACTTGCCTAGCTCTGGCCTGTGGGCTCCAGGGGACACTTACTGCTGCCCAAGACTGTATCACATCTAGGAAAAGACTGGGGTAGGTGCAGAAAATGCCTTCTTCTGTCTGGCGGTCCTGGGTCCGTTCCCAAGTCTCAGGAAGAATCTACAGTAGCACTGAGATGTCAAAGCTGCCAAGAAAGGGAGGTGGGGGTGAGAGACTGGGAGTTGTTAGCAGATGGCCCTCCCTTTCCCAGCCATTCCACACCTCTCAGCCCTTGGGGCTAGAGTCCTGCTTCTGCTTCTCCTACAGGTGAAGAATCATGCAGCAGACCAGGAAGACAGCCATTAGAAGGTTGTAACCCCTCCAGGCTCATCAGCTCCAGGCACCTTCCCTAGTGGTTCCTTTCCTTGCCTTGAGTGATTTTCCAAAGGCCTCTCAGTGGCACCCATGCAACCCATTCTGGAGCAAGGGCAACAGAAATGGAGGCACGGCTCAGCCAGACCATCCAGGAAGCCTCCCCCCAAGTGCTGGCTTTAGCTTTGGTCATGTTTCCAGATGACAGTCTGGGGACTGGCAGGGAAAGGAAGAGGCTGCAACTGCCCAGCACCAGCTCACCATTCTTAGAAAGCTGAGGCCCACTCGTCGAAGGGGCAGCTGGACGGGCCCACCTGGGAGCACCATCAGCCCTCTCTGACTGCAGGTACTGTTCCAGCGGCTCTTCTCCCTCTCAAAGCCCCCAGTCCTGTCTGGGTGTCAATAGGGGTATCCTTTTTGTGTCATTTCTATCTTGTTTCTTGCTGATGTGATACCATGTATTTCAGATCTGCTTTGGAAATATGTATTATGTCACTGGGGGGAAATAAAATTTATATTTTTTTCCTCTTGATCAGGGGTTCTCCGTGTGGTCTCCAAGCCTTATTCTGGCCCTTTGGCTGTCCCAGGCCAACCCTTCCTAGAGAAGCTGAGCAGGCCCGAGACACACAAGCTCAGAAGCTCACACCAAGCCAGGGCAGAAAGGGCACCAAGCTGCCCTGCTTTTCTCCAAATTAGACCTGAGCACAAACCTGCAGGGCTCAGGAGCCACAAAGGGAAGATCTTACCCTTGTGGTCAGACAGGCCAGCTCTGCCCTACAAAATCGCCAGACTCCATCTCCAACATCCAGAAACTCTCACTCCTGGCAATTCAAGTGCCCTCTCCCAGTAGCCAAGACTAGATGAGGGATCCAGGACACATATAATGCTGTCCCAAGCCCTTGACACCAGGAGTCCAAGAACACACTACCCAGCTCGGAAGAGCCTTGCTCTCTTAAATCCTGTATCAAGAACAACAGAATTTTTCAGATATGAAAGAGTTTTTGTTTTAGCTCAGATATTAAGTGGGAAAGCACAGGCCCCTTGTCCATTCTCTCAAAAGCAGCCCAATAATATAGGAGGGGGTCACTAGCTGGCCTGCATAGGGTCCATCCCTTACGAGACACTAGCTCCAGGTTCCACTTTCCAGGTAAGTCCAGCTGAAGTCCTTTCCAACTGGGGGGGGGGGGGTCAAGCTGCATTCGCAGGTTTCTTCACCTGAGTCGTGGCTGGGAGCCAACTCAATTCGAAAAGTTCCTTTAACGGAACAGTTTTTTAAAATATCATCCCAATACAGCTGTCCAGTGCATCAGTTCTGAGCACGCCTCCCTAGATCCTCTCCCGTGCTCCGAGTTCTCAGCTTGGCGCACGCAGTCTGCAAGCCGACGGCGCAGGTCCTTTCGGGGACAGCGGCAGCTGTCCTCGGCGTCCGTCCTTGCTCAGGGTTCTGCTTCAAGGCGGCGTGGCGGCGCCCCTCCGGCGGGCGGCCCGTACTAAGCACTGCTGCAAAACGGGGTAGAGGCGCTGGCAGCCCTCGAGACCCAGGCGCACGGCCTCCGCCCAGCTCTCGGTCGGGCCGCCCTCCCCGCTGCCCAGCAGCCCGGCCACCTGGTTGAGCACCGGCATAAGCGCCACGGTGAGGCCGGCGGCGGCGCGTTCCTCCTCTAGCAGCGTGGGGTCCAGCAGCCAGGTGGGCTCCGGCCCCGGCGCGCGGCTTAAGCCGCAGCCCACCACCAGGTCGTACATCTCGATGCCCGCGTCGGCCAGGGCGATCGCGGCAGCCGTGAGCGCGGCGGCCAGAGCCGAGCCGCCGTCCTCGAGCAGCAGCGCCGACACCTCGAGCTGCGCGCGCGGGTAGCGGCCCAGGCGCACGGCCGGCTCGAGCGCCTCCTGCAGCGCCAGCGCCAGCTCACGCTCCTCGCTGCCACCCGGGGGAGCGCGGCGCCGGCGGCCCGAGAAGGGCGCGCGGCGGAAGTCGCAGAGCAGGCGGCCCCGCAGCGCGGCCGGGGTCTCGCCGCCCGCTCCGGCCGGGCCGCCACCGCGCTCACCGCCCTCTACCTGGCGTGGGCCGGACACTGCGCACAGCACCTTGGTGCCTCCCGCTTCCAGGTAGGCCGAGCCCTTGGCCTGGCTCAACAGCCCGGCGCGCGCGTACACAGGCCGGAGCCGCGTCGGGTCGCGAGCGGCCGGCACCTCGTCCTCGTCGGTCGCGTACAACTGCGGCGGCTGCGACTCCTCGGGCCCGCGGATGCGGCGGTTGTCCCCGGGCATGGCAGCATCTGGCGCACGAGTCCCCTTCACCCGTCGGCCCGGCCTCGCGCGCCGGCTCTTCCGCGCGCTCAAAGCCGCGCGCTCGCGCGAGGACTGTCGGGATAGCGGCAGGCCGCGCCGCACCGCCCCCTGCCGCCCCGGAGGGAGAACGGCGAGCGCTGCAGGGTCCTGGGGCCGCCGCAAGGACGCCCACAGCTCGGTGGATGGATGGACGGATGTACCGGGCAGGCCTGCAGAAGTGGCACCTAGGCCGGCTCGGCTGACCTCTAGCCTTTGCGCTCAGGGCGTAGGGCTTCTTCCTTTCACTTGTGAAGCTGTAATTATTTTAATTTTGCACTTATGTGTGTGACTGTTTTATCCATGTTCCCCACTGCCTTGCCCAAGAGGGCAGTGACCTTCTGTCTTGGTCACTCCTGTACTGTCAGTGCCCTGGCTGGCATAAACGCTTGTCGAGTGAATGAATGGAACTATGTCTCTCCTGCCCTGGATTGTGTGAGCTCTTTGTATCCCTAACACTCCTCACCTGGCATGCACATATTGCAGCCAAGGGCCTCAGCACCCTCCGCTTTTCATACTCCTCACCCCCAGGCCTTGTGACTGCTGGCCTCTGCTTCTTCTCTCAGCATAGACCTGCTTCTCCTCCTCCCTCAAAGTCCGCAGGCCTGAGAATGACCCAGGGCCTCAGAGCCAGCCTGCTGTACTCAGGGGACATGAAATCAGCCAGAGCGGGCACAACCAAGTACTGTACACTACTACCAAACCCAACTGTCTTCAGACTTGGGTGAATGGACACAGAACCAGGTCAGAGTCTCCACCCTCACCATCCAAGTGAGGTCCTGGAACCAGGAATGACATGGCAGTCAAAGGTGTGGGGGGAGGCAACTGATGTACCCTAAACACCTCCTATACCAAAGAATGCCTCTGACCTCACACCCAACCTGCACATCAAGTGAGAAAAAGGGATATGGGCCTAAGAAATGAAGGTATTCTCCTACGAGGGGCTCTATTCTGTGGGCCACCTCCACAGATGTCGAGGAAAATCCAGCGGCCATTATTCCCGAACTTCAGGGGTCTGGGGCGAGACTCAGCAAGGACTGCGACCAGAAGCCAGCTGAAGCCACAGCATTTATTCTACAGACACCTAGGGAGCCACGGGCTGTCACACTGGGGGCACCCGTGGGGTGAGGGGTGGGGAAGAGAGGGGAGGAGAAGATAAGAAATCACACGGCATTATCGAGTATTGCACATGGTCCTTTTATTCTCTGCAGCAAAAACGATTCCTCCCTGCAGGCCCAGAGCCTTGGGTCTGCAGAGAACTCTACAGACACAATCCTGGGGTAGTGGTTCTAGACAGATGGCGCTGATGTGCTCGGGGCAGAAGCGTAACATGGGAATTGAGTCACAGGCTGGCTCCCAGGCTAAGTTCCAGTTACTGCTGGGTTAGGAGGACAGATGGGGCTGTTTAAAGGTCCCAAGATTAGAATGTCCTTGTGGGGGATGGAGCGCTCCTGGCTGGACGGATCCATCTGGGTGCGGGGGAGATGCCTCCTCGTGGTAGCCGCCCTTCCCCCTCAGTTCTTCACATCTCCCAGGTGCAGCTGGGCAAAGGTGGCGGCCAGCTGCAGCGCCTCCTGCAGGCAGCCCACGTTCTTGCCTGTGGCCTGAGCGGACACATCTTTGCCACCACCTTTGCCATCCATCAGACCTGACACCTGTTGCACCCACTCACTGGCTTTCAGGCCCCGGTTGGCTGCATTCTAGAAGACAGGAAGGAGAAGTGGGGGTTAGGACAGAGGATGGGATTGAGGGAGACAAGGAGAGGGGTGGGATGGAAAAAGGATGGGGGAGGCTGACACCCAATCCTGCCCCGGGTGATGCTGCCAGAGCTGAGAGAGATCCTACTGTGGGTATGACAGCCAGGGCGAGGCCTACCACGCAGCAAAGCCAGCACGGTTGAATATATCCACCAGGGAGGGGAGAGCCTGAGGGGAAGGCGTGCTGGGGAGGTGACAAACAGGTGAGCAGGAAAACGGCCACTTCTAACAGGGGTTGCACAAACACACATGGGTCTTGGCAAACAGGTGTAAGAAGAACCAAGCTCCCTGAGAAAAGCTATGGCCACTGGCACAGAGCTGCTGTGAGCAAGACTGCAGGGCACTCTGACCTGGGGGACTTGACACAAGCATGTGATCTTGCCAGCCTCATTATCCACTGTGAAGAGCATGGCAGACGTCTCAGGGGAATGCGTCTTGAAGAGCTTCAAGGCTTCGTTCAGGGCCTGTGGGGAGAACCTGGCATCAGGCCATGGCCCTGGGGAAGGGGGCCACGCTCTCCACAAGTGCAGCGGGTCTGCAGAGCTCAGTTCTCAGAGAGCTCCCACCCCCTACCCCCTTCTAAGAGCAGGTGCTGGTCCCGGGGGCCTGGATGGAGGACTAAGCACAGGGCCTCGCCCACGCTCTGGCTCGGAGCTTCGCCTTCCACCTCAAGGAGCCACAGCTCTCCAGCCACCAGCTCTCTCCATGGCTCAGCCCAACCTCAGTCCCAGAGAGTGGGCCGTCAGGCAACTACTCTGCTCAGAGCCACAAGGCTCCCACTTCAGCCACCAGAAGGCTGAGACCCCGAGAGGAGACAAGCAGCAGACAGGCACAGGGTGGTGCCACGGAGCCCCAACCCCGGCTTGCCTTGGCCGAGGCACCGCTCTCCATCTCCAGGATGACAAGGGGCTGGTTGGGGCTGCTGTCAATGAGCTGCTTTGTCTTCTCCAGCACCTGCAAGGAAGGGAGTCCAGAGGAGAGGCCTCAGGTCAAAGGCTCAGACTCCGAAACCCAGAGAGTAGTCTGCACAGCCTTTGCTGGGTAAATCCTCCCGGCTCCTGCACTGCCAGGACTCACCCGCTTCTGGACATCGGCTTTGTTAGCCCGGTCTAGGTCATCCATGATTTTCTTCAGGGATTTGAGATTCTCCCGGAATTCATCCTTCTGCCACTGAGGGATGACTGCGGTGGCCAGAGCCTGGAACCATAACAGGAACTCCACTGGGAGCTGGGCCGCGAGGAGCGAGGATGTGAGCCCACCCCACCCTTCTGGCTTCTGACACCAGAGTCCCCCAACCAGTGTCCAGAAGGAGAGAGAACACAAGAACAAAAAGGAATCCACTGGCCTTGAGACGAGTCACTTTATGAGCAACTGCGTGAATTGTAAGGAGCAGGGCTGGAGAGAAAGGGGCAGAATAAAGAGAGCTGGGACCCCGTTAGACCTGGTCCCCCCACGGCAGTGAACACAGCCCGTGATGGGCTAATGGGAAGCCCCCGAATGTTAACAAACACCAGGAGACCTGGAGACAGTGGGCTCCCACAGTGCCTCTCCCACCCCCCTCAACACCGGTGCCCACTAGTGCTCAGAAGGGGCTGCCCTGCCATCAGCAACGGGGGCAGCAGCTGGTTCCAGGGGTCCGGAGGCCAGGATCTGGGAAGCTCCCTTGGCAAGGTTGCCGGACATCCGAAGTCAGTCCAAAGGCCCACTGCACCGAGAACCAGGACCTGAGGAGGGAGGCCGCCCCTACCTCACCGAGGTCCGCGATCTCCCTCTGCACGTCCTTATTTGGCGCAGTCTGGGCCTTCACTTTGGCCTCCGCGACAGAGAGAGATTTCTTCAAGCTCTCTGCTTTCCTGAGCGCCTGGGAGCAGACAATCAGAGTTGTAAACTGTGGGTCAGGCAACTTTCAGCTTCATGACTCTGTGAACGGTGGCAGACACCGACGGCAGGCTATGGAACAACACACCCCCAGAACACCAGAACTTTCTCTTCCTTCAGGGGCAAGTGTTTGCAGCCTCATGCCCCAGAAAGGAGCACCCTCCTCACACACCTGGCCAGCGGAACTCAGGTTCAGGGCGTGACAGAGAACTCATGAGCCAGGAGCCCTTCCCACCTATGAAATCATCACTCCTCAAGCCTCGGCACACGTCAGGCGTGAGCTACAGTCCCCACCCCCAGAGCAACTGTCCCCATACTCCATGTGTCTCAAACTGGGTACATACCCCAAGCGAGATGTGGCTAAGTGCTGGGGGCACAGAAGCCACAGCAAAACTATGGCCTACCCTCCTAGACACAGACATCTTATGGCAGAATCTACCTATATTTTAAAAGATTAAATATAAGATAGCTAGAACGTTTCGTGCGGTGCTGGCTTTCTTCCGCCAGGCGGGGTAACGGGAGGACACCCTGGAGGGCGTGCCGTACCTCCGATTCTGACCGCAGCGGCCATGTGACCATCGGCACTGTGGATCCACAGATCGGGCCCCGCTTGCCTTGTTCAAGTAAGCCACAAACCAGCCTGACCTGCTCACCTTCTGGGCTTCGGCACCTGTGACAGCAACAATCCTCCGGATGCCCTTGGCAATAGCTTCTTCGCTCACAATCACAAAAGCTCCCGCGTGACTCGAATTCTGCAGATGCCTGAATGGCAGAAGGCAAAGTTCATGGTCCTCACAGCACCCAGGAGCCCTTGGCTGGCAGGCAGGAGCCCTAAATGGTAGTCGCTCCCAGGGAAGCTCCCTCAAAGGGATGATGAGCAAAGGCCCTTCGTGTTTATTTCAGAACGCAGCTGTGGCCTGGAAGGGGCAGGCAGTCAGGGAAGGCCTGGCTGGGGCCGACACTGAGCGAGGCGCCACGTTCCTGAGCCTCAGTTTTCTCACGCATGAAATGTGGGTAGTTCTCCCTCTCCACACTGCTGCCGTCTGTCCCTGCTCAACAGCCTGAGAGTATCTGTGGATTCCCTCTCAAGTCTTACCACAGCACCTCAGACAACCCCAGGGGCTCAGAGAACCTCAAACGCTCATTTACTCTCAGCCACTCCGCAAGGATGATGTAAAGTCTCCGAAAGCTGTTTCCAGTGCTCTAGAGTGTCATGGAGAGAGGAATCAAGGCAGAGGTGGGACTCATTTGAAGGCCCAATTCTACTGGACAGAGGGAGGCCTGGAATGTGATCTCCCAGATCCCTACCCCATCCTCCATGCACCCACCTGCTCTCTGCCTGCCTGAGGCTCACAGGAGGCCCTGGATGGGCTCTATCATGGCCTTAAGAATGTCTTTTTCCCCCTGATTTCTTGGCAGGCAGGAACTTCCCAGGCCACCAGACTGTCCCAGAAAGACCCCAAGGGCTATGGAGGACTCCAAGTTGGCAGAAACATGGGGCTGCCCACAGCCAAACTGAGCCGGGTCTACCGTGGGGCCTGACTCAGGGGCTCTGAGACGATGAGGTTAATTTCACAGACGCTGCTCAAGCCTGCAAAGGGAACTATGTGAGGCCCTGGGAACGAAAAGGGGCTAGGACCATATCAGAAGCTCCAGGGCCCTGTGGAATCATGAATTCCCAGGCCTTCTGTCATCATCCGTCCAGGGAACGAGAGCAAGCAGCTGTAAGTGTTAGGATGACATTTTTTACCTTCCCTCCTGAGAAGAACGTTTCATCACACACC